AAAAAAATTGCTTCTTTTCTGTGCATCAAATTGATTTAAAAGCTCTAGTTCCCATCCCCATTTCCCCCAATAAACAAGTAATTAACCATGGCAAAACCAACATCAAGATCCACCAGAAAATTACCAGATCCAATACAAAAATATAATGACAATTAAAATCACAGAAAGAACAGATCTTCTCTAGAAATGCAACCCAAAAGACCCCTTGAAACCAACAGATATGAGCCATTTTTGTCTTCTTAACAAAGATCTAGATCGAATTGAGCAACAAATGCAACTAAATCAAATGCAAATTAGCCATCAGAAAACAATAATTTCTTCAATATGCAAACTTATCAAACGAAACTAAACAATACAGAGACCAAAAACAGCGTCCAGGATCAATCAAGAAGCCATGCTCGATAATAAAGAGTTCAATTTTTGAAAGGACAAAGAGGGGAAGAAGATGATAAAAGCTGGAAAATGAAATAAAACGCTAAATATCCTCAAAATATGGTAATTGCACAGAAGATTTAGAGTTTGACAAAGAACCCATGCTCCATGAATTGCAAATCTTGCTAAAAAAGGTTCAATTTTTAAAAGACGAAGAGGGGAAGAAGATGATAGAAGCTGCCAAACAAAATAAAAGCCTAGATATCCTCAAAATATGGTAATTTGACAGAAGATTCAAAGCTTGACGAAGAATCCCATGCTCGATGAATTGCAGATCTTGCTAAACAAAGACGAAGAAGGGAAGAAGACAAAGATGATAGAAGCTGATCCCTAAATCCCTAAATCCCCAAATCCCCAATTTTATTCCCCAAACAACTTAAGGGTATAAAAGTAATTTGTGTAATCTGCCGATTTTGAGGTATTTGTCCAGCTGTGCCTCCACCTCAGCAAAAAGAAGGCCACGTTGAACACAGAGGAAGGGCTGATGAGCGAACTGTTAAATGTTAACGGAAGGGTTAAGAGAGGGGCTGATTTGCCACTGCAGGTGAGTTGAGGGGTTGATTTGCGCGTAAAATGGGTTAAGGGGGTGATTTGCCACCAGTTGTTGAGTTTAGGGGGTGATCTGCACCTTTTGCCAAAAAAAAAGTTCAAACAAAAATTTTCGCCAATGAACCACCCTCTAGGACTCCCTCAGTCACAGCCCTCTGATCTTAATCAATTCACGGCCACCTTTCCTCGCAGAAAGCCAAGCCGATCCCCTCTCTGCTGCACCACGCGGATGAACAGAACGTTGCAGCACTGGCGTCCTTTTATTTTTGGGAATCTGAGACGTAGAGGACAAATGGGGACCATTGTAGGTTTGCTGAGTCATCTTCACGTGGAGTTGTCTCCTATTTCATGAAGCGAAGAGGAGAAAAGGAAGGCAGAGGCAGAGGCAGAGGCAGCCAGGCAGGACGTGGGGAAGAAGGGGTATTTGAGGAACATTCAGGACTGTTGGGGTTTGAGGTAGACCTGGCAATTTCCTTCGGTCTTTGCTGGGTCTTACGGGAATCCTTATCATGGGGACGAAACGGGAAGAAATATTTTTTTTGCAGAACGGGGATACGAGGCATTTTTTCTTTGTAAAATTTCGTAAGAAATTTTTCCTGTCCACGGGGTCTCGCGGGAATTTTCATCCCCACAAAAAATAAAAAAAGTAATTTAAATTTAATTGAATATTTAAAATAAAACTCAAACATAACTCAAACATAACTCAAACCCAATTCAATAAAAATTAAATTTTACCCAATCTAACCCAATCCAATCCAAGTATCCAACCCAACCGGTCAACCCATCCGGCCAACCCAGCAATCCAGCATCCTCCTTACAAGTTCCAACCCTAATTAATCCCCCTTCCAACCCTAATTTTATAACTTTATTCATTTTTCCTCTTTTTCTCTTCACTCACGCACGCAACCACAACCCCTCACTCACTTTTGGTTTCAGCCGGACAATCAAGCTCTTAAGTCTCACCTCACCTTCAACCTTCCTCTCCCCTTCTTGCTGCTATAGATCTACTACAAGTCTGCTGTTGGAGCTGTTACAAATATGCTGCTGGAGCTGTTACAAATCTGTTGGAGTTCATCATGCTGCCTGTGTCGAACTCCCTCTCTGCTCTTGCTGCTTGTGCCGAACTCCCTCTCTGCTTGCTGCCTGTGTCTGACCCCCTCTACTTGTTGTTTGTGCCGGACCCTCTGCTTGCTGCCTGTGCTGGGGGGAATGGGTTAAATTAATTTTTATTTATGTTTGATGCAAAATATATATATTTTGTTATTAATTGGTGGGAAACGGGGACGGGGGATAAAATCTGCCTCTCGTCAAAAATCTTCGCAAGGATCCATGTCCCCGCCATTCGCGAAGACTAAGACGAGGAGGTACTCCCCGGCCCTACGAACCCTGTTGACATCCCTAGTTTGAGGGCCAAAAGTTTTTAATGAAAAAATATAATATAAAAAGTTAATAAAAATTAAACAAAAATAATTAAAATTTTATAATAAAAAATTTTAAATTATCAATTTTATTATATTTAATAAAAATTTAATATATAAAAATTGGTATAAAGAATAAATATTTAAAATATTATTTTTTATTTTTATTATATTTTTAATATATAAAAAATATAAATAATTTTATAAAAAAAAAATTTTCAACCAAAAGACTCCTTTCTTCGAGGTAGCATACAACTAACAAGAATTGTGGAGGATCTCCCCCGTATGGTCCACTGGTTGGGTCGTGCTTCTTAATAAGGAGCAGGTGGAGATTACCCCTTGTCTGGAGTTCGAACCCTCATACTTGTTAATAAATATTAACATAATTACACTAATCAAGTTTCTACTGTCAAAAAAAAAAAAAAACAAGGATTTGTGGAGAGTTTAAAAATGAAAGAAAAAACAATAATTCGTTAAAAGTTGTATATATACATACATCCACATACATATATATATATGAAAGTAATGTTTTTTTCATGGAGTAGGGCTCCCTTTGTCTATTATGGAGTGTTTGTCTTATTATTATATGTGAGTTAAATAATATATATAGAATTTTATGTAATTTTAAATTGATCAATTTTATAACTATAGTGTGTTTTATTCTTATATTTTTCATATTGTTCAAAAAGAAAATTATTTTTAACATACATTATATTTTTTTATCTTTTAAATATTAAAATTATAAAAATATGATTAATAAATAAATTTAAAGAATACTTTTGTTAAAAATATTTAAATAATGAAATTATTTAAACTAGAACAAACAACAAAGTATAGTTAGTTTTGCGGGTTGAGAGTAAGTGGTTTACTACTTACCTTTTTAAGGGAGAACAGCTTATATTTGATATTCAAAATTTTGAGATGATTTTTTCTCTTTTTTTTTTCTATAAAATTTTAAAATTATTTATAAACTTATTTAAAAAACACAAAATATAATTCGCATTAAAAACACATATATTTAGAAACTATAAAAGGGAGATCCTCTTTTATATTTAATAATTAATAAAATATAATTAAATATAATTCAAACTATACTTT